TGTAGTTGCCATCACTCTAACTTGTTTAGTTCGCCATGCTGTGTCGTGGTGAGTAAACGTGTGTTCGTGGTGTTCGTCACGAAAATGGAAAAGCGAAATCAAGAGCAACGCGTCGCGATAAAATTGTGCGCCAAATTGGGCGAAACAAATTCGGAAACGTACGCTGAAATTGTAAAACTGCTTGTATATAGTGCACTTAGTCGTGCCCAGGTGTTTCGAAGGCATAAAGATAAACTCTTTAGAAGGGGCGTGAAAGCGTGGAAGAAGAGGCGCGGACCGGGAGACCAGTCGATGGTTAAAACGATGACTTCTGCCTTTTCTGATGGCCGTCGAATTCCACAAAGAATTTTTTCCAACGGGGCAAACCGTAAATCAAATCTACTACCAACAGGGTGCGCTCAGACATCATTAGTAACTGGATTCTTCATCACGACAACGCGCCATGCCACACCGCCCTCAGCGTGTCCCAGTATTTGGCATCTGAAGGGATTGCCGTGTTGCAACAACCGCCTTATTCCTCCGTTATGTCACCCTGTAACTTTGAGTCAATTGAGGACATGCAGGCGGCCGTAACGAGGGTACTCGCGGGCATCCCAGTCGTAGCGTTCCAAAAATGTAACGAAGCATGGTAAACGCGCTGGATTCATTGTATAGCTGCTCAAGAAGACTATTTTGAAGGGGATGGCTGAGTTGTGGTATAATTTTGAAATATACGGTTTTTATGGAATCAGTCTCATTACTTAATTGTCACACCACGTAGATGCTGCAACCTCGGAACGTTCAGTACGATCGATTTGGTTGCGCGATTTCCATGTACCTTGAAGCTAGAAGTAATCGTATTTTGACTACCGCTGAACGGCGACCTTAGCACGTTTGAGGATATTTCTCAGCAGACGAAATTTCCCAACTGGTGCACTGAGCTTGCTTTCTTTGGTAATTAAGGGGTTGAAATTGTCAAGCACCATTCTTAACTCGAGCGCGGCGCACTTAGTTGAGTTCTAGGCGCGCTTAGAAAACGTTACTGATCACATCATTCTTCTCCTCCAATAGGACGTGTTCGCAAATCAGCGTTAAGTTGAAGAACTCGACTCAACTCGACGAGGAGTTGCCTCTCCCACCAAATCTGCGATCCGCTTATGTGAACGCCGCAGCCGATCGGCGTACATACTTCTTGGCTGGTGGTGGTGTGAGCAAGTGGTTAGTGTAACAATACAAACTAGTAGCATTCGACTTAACAACTAGTACTAGTATGGCTACAGGGTAAACAAGTATGTATGTACGTATGTTTGTATGCGTGTTGGCTGTTCATAAAAACATTTACTGTTGACCATTTCACTCGAATGGCATCTTTTGCAAAATACACAATTATTGTCATTGTTTTCCTTCACTTCAAGAGTGTGGGTGTACGAATGTGAGTGCGAGTGTGAGTGTTTGTTTTGTCTGTGTGGGTGTAGATTGAGCTGTTGCATGCGTTACATACAAAGAGTATATATGTGCAAAGTTGAACTTGCTATGACAACTACTTGCTGCTGTTGTTGTTGTTGTTATTGTTTGTTGTAGTTCATTAGTATAATAAGCATCCATAATATGTATGTACGTCGTTTTATACAACTTTTGACTCTCGTCCAGCAACTAAACATCTCCCACTAGCTCCCTTCTAGCTGTCAGTTTATATTTGAATATTTATATTTTGCACATTTCCATTTGTTCGTGCGTGTGTGCATCCAAGTGTGACACAGTTTTATTAGAAATTATTTATGCATGACACCTCGGTGGGATTGAGTTCTTCCGAATGCGTACAATGAGATGATAATGTCAACCACACACACACACATGTGACTTTTATTAGATCGCACTGGATAAGGTTTGGTTAGAATGAAATAATGCTATTTGGCATATAAACAATTAAGATTTTATGGCTGTACCAAAATGGTCTAATGTATAAGAGGAGTTTGCGTTTAGAGGTACGCATTGACGTTTAGAGTACGGTAATACTTTTTACGGAGCTGGTCTTTTTGACAGCTGATTTATAATCAGTTTCAAAATGAGGAAATTTACTCCAGTACAATATTTTTAAATCGTGTAAATTCATTATCAAAATAATGGTTCGGTTCCCATCCAATATTCGGTGGACATAATCGCCCAGCAGAGTCGGTAATTGGAGCAACGACGAATCGACTTAGCAACGCGTTTACTCTGATGAATAATGCGCACCCTCAGAGGCACCGTACAGTGCACGCCGAAGACGCTACTGCTGCTGTGGAGAAGAGTGTCGAAAAGGACCCGAGGTGTACTGCAATGAGTTCAACCGCCATCGGGTCGCACGCTCGGTGAATGGATTTAAAACAGCTTGAGCACTGATTCCGATTATCAAAGAAAATTTTGTTCAGCGATGAAACTTTTTTTGTTTGTGTAGATATACTGCCAACATCCTCTGCGCGGTGGGATACCTCTACTTAATATCACAGACTAACACCAGCTTGGCTTAAATTACGGAAGACAAAGACGAATTGTGCGATTTCAGACAAGATGACTCATTATTGTGTCACTTATACAGCCTTATATTGGAGAAAATAATAAGAGCACCAGAGCTGAAAAGAGGAAGAGCTTCAGAGCTGAAAAGAGAAAGTACAAAATTTAACTGGAACGTACAATTGATATTAATTATAAATGTTTTATACAGGCTGGATAAGGCAAACGAAGCAAATGAATATGTTAGTAAAAGAGAGGAGGGTATGTGGAAAGTCTCCAGTCATTCGGAGCACTGCCTCTTGGCTACCATGTCGCAGCTGACAGTCATAAATCTTGTAGTTGGATATAATTTCGTCTATCAAGGAACCAGCACCAAAACCAATTACAAACACAAAAATCCTTACAACAACTGCTACTTTAGACTTATAAAGCAAAGTCCAAAAGTTTTCGAAACAAAAAGGTTGGTGGAACGATGAGCTCTATGGTATTTGCGACGACATTGATCACCGGAAATGTCGTCTAAGTGGATAAAAACACTCCAGCGCAAGAGAGAGGAAAAATGGAGAAAAAAAGAAAAGAAGGAGAAGAGTCTAACTTAACTTGCTGTCCGCAAATTAGCGTTGAGCAGCGAAATGAAAAGAACGACAGATGCAGACTTCCTGACTCGGCTATAATCGAGTAAGCCATGCTTACACCAGTTAAAAAGAAGAATTAATGGTAGACAGCTCGGTCATTGACATTATTAAACCTTGTGGGAGTGGAGGAAGTATATCGACGGTAAAATACATCTTGTTTGACACAATGATGTAATGACCCTCATTTATCTCTGACTCGCTTCGAGAATAGATTTTTGAAGAACGAGTGGGTAAACTTTCGATCTGTGTGACAACATCAAACAAGGTTTACTTCGGAACAACGAAAGTAAATCCGAATTACTAAAGACTCCCAAGATTATCAGAAAGTTTGCTTTAAGATGAGCAGAGTTCATTCTAAAGATGCTAGCAGGGAAATTAGATTTAATGTATGTATATCGGCGGCATCCAAGTGCTGATATTTAAGTAATGCATATCCACATGTCGAGTTGTCCTGCGCCACTTCTTCATACAACACGAGATCCGACATTATCTGGCCTCCTTTTGGTGGATGACCAGATGACCATCTAAATTAAGCTCTGAGCTTAAGTGAACTACTAGACAACGAACATAGTCACATTCAGTGCCTTATCATTTCATATCCATGCTCACATACATACATATGAGTATTACGATTTTTTACAAAGATTTTGCCATTTTTTGATGAGCTGATGGATTCGATTTACTTCTTCGAATAGAGTTCAACTCATTGATAAATGCATAATTTCTTCTCTGTCTTTTTTTCTATTTGACTTTTTGCTGGCACATTAAATTACTGCTACAAGGAGAACTCGACCTTCTTCAACATCCTCTCAGCCGAATGTAGACGATTGTGAAATGGATTCAGCTGGATAGCTGTCATACAATTTTGTCGCACTGTTGGAGGTAAAAAGCAGCTGTGAGTTCGCTTATAACTCTGCTCTTTAGATTTGGAGGTATTTATTCGACAGAAATGGTAACTCTGGCTTAATATTGCCTGAAAACCAAAATAGAATCAGTTCGAAGGAAATATAAAATATTTTAGAAATCGAGCTATAAAACCTTGTGACCTTTCTGCTGAATTTTATATTTCTTTTTTATCCTGTTGTTGCAGAAAGAGAAAAAAATATTAGGATACTCTTATAGATAACTTAATAAATACAAGTTAGCAATTTTTAAACATAAAATTTAAGTCCTAATGGAGTGTAGCCCTGCAGTAAGGTATGCAGTTTTCTCGCCTCAGTGAGCTTAAATATTGGTTTTGTTTTTCTAATTTAAAATACGAAGAGTCTAAGTTTGATTATTTTGTGTATAAACTATATGTAAAGGGTGTTTCTTTTAGACATGCGGCTATGAAGAAGATATGAAATGCATGTAATCTCATGTTAATATTGTGGCCAAGAATTAAGCTTCATTTTAAATATAAGGTTTTGCCATAATGTTTTAAAAATCAGTTCTATAAAGTAACCGCCTCAGCCGACTTTGCGCAGCGATTGGGACCTTATGTCAGCAATAACGCGCCGAATAATCTCTTCCAAGGTGTCAGTCATCTCTACGCTTTACTGTGTAGACAACTGACTTCAAATAACCAAAAAAAAAAATAGTCCTTCGATCTTGGAGATCATGCCACAGACGCACGGCACCATATAATGTGCGATCAAAAGCTTTTCTTAATAAAAAAAAGTCATTAACCATAACCCTGTAGCATTCTCCAGCGACTATAATACTAAGGCCAGTTTTATTTTTGAAGAAATATGGACCAGTGATGAACTCTCACTGCCCATAGAGCACACCAAACGGTGACTTTTCGAGACTGTAAAGGCGTCTCAACAGTGGCATGTGGATTATCATCACTTCAAATGCGGCAATTTTGTTTATTATCTCTTTTATTCAATCAAAAGTGGGTTCTATCGTGGAATGAAATTTTTTTTGTGGAAATCCGGATTGGCGGCCATCTCTTTTTAGATCCATTCACGGAACGTGTGACGCGCTTGATTATCGTACGGCTTCAAATCTTACACTTATTGGATTTTATAACCCCACCAACCAGCAGCCTTCCGCAAAATCTTCCATAAAGTGGTTGGGCACAGTTCCAAGAAAAGCGCGCATTTGGCGGCTGAACTCATTCGCGTCTTCTTCGATACTCTGCTTCACAGTAACAATGCAATCTTTCCAGCACACTGCATGGCATCTCTGATGATGCCACTAAAGTAAACGCGGATCGCAACCAATAGAAGATTACCCGAAAAACCGAATCTGCTGTGTAGTTCAGTTGGGCGCAGCGGTTGATGCGTCGTGTGAACTGAAAGAAATTTGCATGATTTCATAATGAAAAGGTAAATATAATTGGGCATAAAACAAGTAACAGCTGCCAGAAAAACTAACACCTCATTCAAAACCATATGTCTAAAAAGAACGCCTTTTATATGCAAATATTATATACTGGCGTCCGTATAAGGTGGGTGGTTAACAGGGTGTGGTACCATGCGGAAGGTCATGCATTGGAATCAAGGCCAGATCAACAACTAGAAATATAGAAAATTCATTTTAGTAATTACAGCAGGGAATGTCAACCCCTCCGAGTGTATTTCGGACATGTAATAAAGGCTTCTCATAAAAAACAATCAGCCGTTCGGAGGCGGTTCAGTATGAACTGTAGGTCCCTCCATTTGTTGAAAGAACATCAAGACACACGCCACAAATTAAAGGAAGAGCTCGGTAGAAAATCGTTTCAGCGGTTACAAAGCGCCAATTATTTGTATATATATACTCTGTGAGCAAAAAGTAAGGTGAATTTTTAATTTGAGCTTCGCCCGCTTAATATACCGGATTGATTCTTATTTCTTAAAAAAAACGGCTAAAAGTACCTTCGTGGTTTTTGCATCACGATAATGCACTGTTGCACACATCACTCATTTTTCGTGATTATTTCGCAAAAATTCGACGAATATGATTTCCCAACCACCGTATTCGCCGGACCATGTGACTTCTGGCTCTTCCAAAAACTCAAGAGACCAATTCGAGAACACCGTTTTGAGTCGATTGCGGAGATTAAACGCGAATAAGCGCGCTCTCTAAAGGCCATAGCAGAACGTGACTATTTGACAACGGCAGGGGACTATTTTGAAGGCGACGAAATCAATGTAGAAGATAAAATAATAAATAAAGATTTTTAATTTTACAAACAAATTAAGTTTACTTTTTGCTCACAGAGTATATCTGAGCACATTACCTTAATATTTTTTGCGTACCTTTCAATTAATAAGATCGCAGCTTATCGCTTAATAGCCGCTTAAATACCAATAATTTTCGCTTCAACGTCAGGTGATTACAGCGAACAAGGCTACAGTAAATTGAATTTATGCTTCTTCATTTATGACACTTTTACACCATCCGCATCCTGCCGCCACGTCTGTTTCACCCAACACTATTAACACAACAGCACAATTTAAATGAATTTCCATTTACTGAAACTTTTTAAAAAGCAATTATTACCGTTCCATCCATTACAAAGTTATTGAGGCGAATTGAATTGCTGGCCTCATGCCTCTGTGATCTCCTGCCACTGGGACGCCATGTTATGGTCAAGAAGTGAAGAGCAAACCCAAAGTGATTGTCATTCATATTTATTTATATACGAAAAATGTGAGAGTGTGTGTGTTGCTCACCGTAGAGTTGCTTACGAGTATACGTATTATTTAATATTAAAATGGCAGTCCACTTCAGGTATTGGTAGACACCATCGCATAGACATATATACATATATGTACCTATAGTTATACGCGTCCACCACCACCACCTGCCTTGCATATCTTAAAATTCTATTTATTTATTTTTAATTTCATTTTACATTCTCTCTGCTTTTCTTATATCGGCTCTTTACCTTCGCACGTTATTCCGCTTTCGTAGGCGAACTTCAAAGGTCATCATGGGACCTGGTGTTTGTTTTTGCTATTGCAGCCGCGTTTCACCTGCTGTTGATAAATAGTTTATGTTGTTCCAACGAAGGCATTATGCATATTATGCAACAATAACAAACATTTTCATTAACTCTCACAGTCAGCCATACTGCCCGTCCGTGGTGGGTGTAGCGACGCATTTGGATATTTATGAGTTGAAAAGTTAAAAAAAAAAAATACAAATAATACAATCACTTCATAACTATAAATTCTTAAACAACTGCAATGACCTAGAAATAAATTGGAAATTAGAAAATAAATTTCTGTGGGAAATAGAATTTGTATTTCGAATGTGAAACCCAAAAATAGAGACTCATCGAGTAGTCCTCCCTTACACATCAAGTACAAGTACAAGTTCAAGTGCCAATGAATTATTTAACGGTCAGCAATTTTACGTTGAGTGAGCTCAATTGATCGATAAGAGTATACATACATATATTGAATAAATATAAAGAGAGAAATTGCAATTTATTCCAACAATTTTCAATGAACTCGTTGTTATATAACCGAGCTAGACTCGGCGCTCGTTCGATGCTGAGAAATTTTTTTTCGGCTGCGGCTACTCCCGAATGCCTTTAAAATTCACCTCTTTACGACAATCGTATATTTCCTCTCCAAGCTTCGAAAACCGATGCCAAAGTGATCGTTTATTAGAAAATTGCCTTGAATGCCAACTTAAAACTCTTCTTAGCATTGTAAAGAAGGCAGAAAAGGCGGACGAGCTTGCTCGTGCTGGCGAGGAAATCACCACCACCAGATGTTGTTTAAAATATGAGACCATACCAATTTATTATTGTCGGGCAGCTATCGGGCAGTGTAAATAGTATACTCGTATATAGACTATGGTATAGACCATATGACAAATGGATGCATCAACGGGGCATCTACCCTTGAGATATCATCACCTAATCAAAGTAGTATCAGCATGACGAAACGCTGGAACACAACCTTTGCAAGAGTTCGCCCTACAGCCCATTGAGACGTCACATCTTACGCGTTGCTCCCAACTTCAACCTCACTTAGATGGGCCCGCTTGGTCGGAAGTTGGTTTGCCTCCTTCATAGAACCAATCAACCTCGACGGGCTGATTCAATTATTGCTTTTAATGGAACCGAATTTGGTTATAAGTATTAAGTAAACTCAATTCCAGGTTTGTTTATAGGAATTGAATACTTTGTTACACATCAAAAAAAAAAAAATGGGAGAAGTGACAGCTGATTGGTTTTCGAATAGAACGGGTTTTCAAAACGAGTTATAGATCTAAACAATCAATGACAATAAGAGGAAACAAGTAAGAACAACACCAAGGGATCTTTCCAGCTTAGTAGAGGTTCTATTCTATTCTATTTTTAGCTGGCACCAGTAGGTACTTCATCGAAACTTTCAGAGCTGGAAATATATAAATGTTGTTGTATATCTAGAGGAGCATATCGTGTCATCATTTGCAATATCTACGGTAGCTAATAAACAAAGGTACATAAATCTTACGTAAAACCTTTCACATATAAACATCCACCGCCGATTCATCAGCAGAACGGGGATGATGAGTGACTTGAAAAGCTTGATATTTGCTCGCCGGTAGAGGGATTTACTTTTCAAAAGCCTAGTCAATGCGAAGTGGTTTGTGTTGATGCTGGTTCCAAAAAGGGACGGAGTAATTGTCAACAGCTTCAAGATTATTACTGTCAAGAGTGGTGTGCTAGCCAAGCCGCGAAAGCGCTGATTATTCCTTTGATGACGGGGGATATTTCGGCATGTTTTCGTTTGCTACCAGACCCATACGCCTTGTTTCCTTATGTAGTCTGGAGTCTGGAGAATATAACGATGCGGTTGTTGAGTATAACTCACACTGACGTACCAATCGTCTGGTTGGAATTTAACCAAAAAAAATTTTGAAATGAAGCTGATCAATGCACTTTGTGTGCTCTTCGCAAATATATTTGAACCATCGGCTTCCATCGCTTGCTTTTTCTGCCAACGAAAAATTGATATTGGGACTTAAAAATTATCGAATAAAGCGAATAGACGTTTTCGTTTCGAAAAGAGTCCTCTTTTGATACTACCCATGAAGCAATCCATTTTTCCAATTCCTCGAAGGATTGAAAATTTTGATCTGCCAGGCCGTGTGCGATCGAAAGGAATAGGTGGAAATCAGAAGAGGCGACATCTCGGGAATACGGCGGGGTGGGTAAGACTTCCCATTTCAGCGTTTCCAGGTACTTTTTGACCACTTTTGAGACTTGAGGCTGATCATTGTGGTGTTGGAGGATGACTTTGTCATGTCGCTCTTGATATTGTGGCCGCTTTTCTTTTAGCGCGCGACTAAGGCTCATCAGTTGCGTTCGGTAGCGATCTCTTGTGATGGTTTCACCCGGTTTTAAGAGCTCGTAGTAAATCACACCGAGCTGATCCCACCAAATACAAATCATAACCATGTTTGTCTTCGACATCGAAATCACCATTTTTAAAACGTTAACACCACTCCCGACACGTTCTTTCACTCAGAGCAGCATCACCGTAAATTTCTGAGAGCATTCGATGCGCTTCAGCTGCATTTTTTTTTGCGAATCGTAACACAAAAGTAAAACTTTCCGCAAATGGCGAGAATTAGGCACATAAATGGACATTTTCGAGCGAAAACAAGAACAATTGTCACTGAAACGGCGATGACAATTAGTTAGGCACTGTCCACACTCACTTTAAAGGCATTATCATCTATGTATTTCAACCAGCCTCAGCCGGTACAGCCACCTATCGGAACCCGGCGGAAGCAAAGTTGTACACCTGATACTTTAAACAGTGGTTACCAGTTCACTTGTCTGCTACTTGAAAAGTCTTGAAACCTATATATGTTTTCACATCGACACACAAAGTTTTCAAGCAGTTTCTTTGGCTATTGCAATAGCCGAGTGGGTAACAGCGCCTACCGTCATGCAAAGGAACCTGCTCCAAAGCAGCGTCCAAAAAAAAAACATCCAAGGAATAGTACAGAATTAATTTGTGATTGCGGTCGTTCCTCGGCAGTGTTTGCCTCTCTCCCCGAATGTGATTCTGACTTGAAAATAAAAGCTCTTCTTATAAGTGTTGTTCAGATCAAACCTTAAGAAGCACACCAAAAATTGAAAGAGGAGCTCGGCCGAAGCCGATCAATCCTACTTGCCCAGCCTCTTAAGTTCTCTATACTGCGCATTCAGTGCTCTTCTTTTTTGTTCGCAACTGCTTTGAACTTTGAGTATACCAAAATGAATGTTTAGTAGAGTACACCACTATTGGCTGAGTGCCCTTGAAGCGTTCTTATTTTGTGTTCTCCTGTACTTTGCGCAATCTTAAAATATTAAATAATAAAATTCATACACTTTTGCTAGCTCCGAAAGTCTTTTGGATTCATATGCGAGTATTTTCTTATCGCGCCATAAATGTCAAGAGATAACCGTGTTAAGGAAAAACTTTAAGAAATATTTTATCAAAAAGAATAATTACAAATTCAAAAGAAAGCAAACCAACACTTTGTACGCCTACAAAAAACCTTTTGTACACGTATATTGATGCGCTCTGTTCTTCAGCCTCATTAAAATCCCCACTCACTATAATAACATAATGTTGATGACATTGTCGCGCTTCGAATATCCTGCATTGCTTCCTCGCATCAGCGGCAACGCCAACGCCATTTGCCATTATGCCAGTGCAAGTACTTATTTGTTGACGTTGTCTTAATTAGTCTGCGGTGGTATTGAAGAAAATCAAGACATCCTTAAAGTTGTTTGCTATTCGTTACATGGCAGGAGTAAGAAAAAAAATTGCTGCATAAATTAATGGACCGTCATTATTAAAAAGAGAGGAAGATTGATTATTATGGTCGGTATGCTGGTTTTTTTATATATTTTTTTTTTATTTTTTATTTTTTTTGAATATTAAACAGCGTGAAATTGTGGTTTATTGTGCAAATAATATCGCTTAATTTGTTGAGATTAATTCTAAGAATTAATTACAATATTTACTTTCAATATCTACGCAGGTTTATATTTACATAAAAAAGGTTATTTATAATGGAATTAATTCTTGTGCCGATGCTTGTTTGAACGATGATAAAAATTAAATTTGATTTCTATTTGAATTTTCCACTTTAAAAGTTAACCAGTTTTGAAGTGCAAAAGAAAATATGCAGGAGATATTTAATTAAAGTAAATCTTTTTAACAAAATTATTTTTTGGTATATTACGGTAACCAGAATATTATAAAAATTGTAAAAATTTAAAACATTGATAAAGAATACTAGAGTTCAGTTGGTTTTCTAAGTTAGTTAATTTAAAGTACAATAATATCAGGTGTACAACTTTGCTTCCGCCGTTTTTTTCCAAAATTAAAAGCTTAATTGTGAAAAAGTGCTAACAGATATATTATTTAAAGCATTGTACTTCGCTAGCGACAACTTTCTACCATCTTTCCGGCAATTTCGGATCCCGGCTCGAAAAAAAGGAGTTCTCTTTTGACGCTATCCATGAAGCAATCCATTTTTCCAATTCTTCGAAGGATTGAAAATGTTGAACTACCAGCCCGTGTGCCATCGAAAGGAATAGGTGGAAGTCAGAAGAGGCGACATCTGGGGAATACAGCGGGGTGGGTAAGTCTCCATTTCAGCGTTTCCAGGTACTTTTTGACCACTTTTGCGACGTGAGGCCGAGCATTGTCGTGTTGGAGGATGACTTTGTCATGTCATTGCTCTTGATATTGTGGCCGCTTTTCTTTTAGCGCGCGACTAAGGCCCATCAGTTGCGTTCGGTAGCGATCTCCTGTGATGGTTTCACCCGGTTTTAAGAGCTCATAGTAAATCACACCGAGCTGATCCCTCCAAATACAAATCATAATCATGTTTGTCTTTGACATCGAAATCACCATTTTTAAAACGTTGAAACCACTCCCCACACGTTCTTTCACTCAGAGCAGCATCGCCGTGAGTTTCTGAGAGCATTCGATGCGCTTGAGCTGCATTTTTTTTCGAATTGTAACAGAATAGTAAAACTTCCCGCAAATGGCGAGAACTAGGCACATAAACGGACATTTTCCAGCGTGAATAATACGAAAACAAGAACAACTGTCACTGAAATGGCGATGACAATTCGTTAGGCACTGTCCACACTCACTTTAAAAGCATTATCATCTATGTATTTCAACCAGCCTCAGCCGGTACAGCCACCTATCGGAAAACGGCGGAAGCAAAGTTGTACACCTGATATTTAAATTATTTTATTTAATTTTTTTGAATATGAATGAATCATAGCAATTTTTATTTCAATGAAAATAATAGAAAATTCCCATAAATTTTTATGGAAACGAAGTCCTGTATCTATTACAGTAAGTCTTTGTTGCCAAAATTTCATGTTTTCCTGCGGGATGCTGGCATCAACTGACTATTTTGTGAGCTTACTCTGGAGCATGGCATATACAACCGGTCATAGGAGAATCAGCTTTCCCCTAAGGTTACTCTTGCAAAAAAAAATGTTTATGTTTATTGCGAAGCATACTTTGCTCCTTGGAGTTCAAAGGGGTAATTTGATGGTATGATTTGAGTCCTTGGAATAAGTTCAACAACATATACACATGTATAGTAGCTTTTATTACATCTTGATGCAATATTTTCTTTCAACTGTAATCTGTACATTGCACAATTTTGGTGGCTTCAACAGTTAAGTTCAATATGTGAGTTGGGAGAGCGGAGGGCTGCATTGTATTCCATAACTCTGCCGTATAATGAATGGCATCGTAAGGGTTTATCACTGAGTCATCGGATTTATGCCAATATTAGATCCCTTCCAAAAATTTTAAAATTATTTCATTTCGCACAACCATTTTGCGCACTTATCGTGATTATTATTTATGGTAGGGAAAATGCTGACTATAGTGTAAGCTCATTGACAGCCAAAACAATTGTTCCAAATGCTATAGAAGTAGTTATATTGCTATTCAGTACCGTGTAGTGTTATTTTAAGCAACAGATCTGAGAACTGTCTGGCAGTAATCTCTTCTCCCAAACGGACTCTCCTATTTTCGGTGAGGCTAAGTCTACTCACTGAAAACCGTAAATTAGAGCGTTGTATGCATGTTTTAATCTCGTCCGCTCACGTTTCCCTACAGTAACTTCTCCCATTTGAGTTTTATTATTTCTAATATCTTTTAATGATTTTATGTTCAATCTAGTGCTTCGAAACATTCTTCACGATCAATCACATTAATTTTATAAAATAATATTTAAATACAAAATTCTTGTTTGTAAAAAAGTTAAACGAAAATAATAACAAATGAAAATGTTTCCAAGAGATCAGGATCAGCCAGACCCACTTCCAGCTTCCACTCCTAATGGCAGTCGAATTTTTAAATACTAGATGCCATTGTGCGGATGGATAAGAATACATCAGCTCAGAAAATTGTCGATGCACTACCCGTCAGTGGAAGCAGAGAAAGACCTCCAGGTAGAGAGGGACCCGGCTTTACTTGGTGTTTCTAATTGGCGCCAAACAGTGAAAAGCAGAAACTAAAGACAGCCTGAGGTGATGCAATCGATTGTGATGGAAGAGGCAAACTGTTTCATAAACTTTATGTGATGTCATACAGAGCGGTCTGGAGTGGATAGAAAAGTGGGCTATTGATTTTTGATTAGTCATTAACCTACAGAATATAAAATTTCTTTTCTTCACTAGAAAATATAAAATTTCAAGTTTTCAACACCAATCAGGACATTAAACTGGTCACAGTAGTAGGAGGAAAGGACCCAAAAGGCATTCATCGCTCTTTATTATTATTATGTTGTTATATAATGGTGCTTGTGCCGTTATAAGGCCATAAAGGTATCCGGACAGATTGAAGCCACCAAATGCAAACTCGGTTCATGGGTCAAAACTAGATAGCAGAGTTGGTGGCGGAGCTTGTTAGCTAATTCCAAATTCTTTCGTTTACCTCATCGCTGTAATATTTTTCATGAGGAATCGGCAGCTGTCCATGAGGCTGTCAAAGGTTTTAGCTCCATGGAATATCGTGTTCATATCTTCTCTGATAGCCAATTTTCGTTAAGAGTCCTGGAAACGTTTGGAGACATGTGCAGGATAGCGCGAGACAACCATACGGTGGTTGCTCAATTTTGCAAACTTCATATATTGGTCTGACTATCGGGTGGAGGTCATTAGGATTCTCAGCCCGTTTGGTGGTCTAAGTAAGGCATATTCGGCAACCGTTACACTTTTGCAATCAAGATTCAAAGATGTTTCAATACCTGCTCAAATAAAAACAAAGTGTTGAAAGCTAATGGCTGAGCTATTTAAATATGGTGGTGAAGAATTAAAGGATCAGTTGAGGTCTGAAGGTCATATTAGGTTAATATTCCGTAAATAAATGATAAGCACGATAGCGAAGTCTGAGTTTTAAACACGATTGGAAGAATGAGTTACCAAGCAAGTTTTTCTTTATTTTTGATCACAGCTGAATCCCTGTATCCTCTTTTTTTTTCAAAAATATATAATTCTAAAAAAATTAAAACGTTGAAATGAAATTGACTTAAACGCCACAGCATGTGGTACGAACTGTCGGTCGGCTGTCACGCAACAGGTTGTCGTACACACTGAAACTGACACTTTCCCAACGCATACAATCACACAATGCAATATAAAGGCAATAGCAGTTGGATGAGCTTAGACGCCGAACAAAGCATACGAAAGAAGAGCAAAGCAATGACATAAGAGAAATGCCAAACAAAAGTGGCGGTAAGTTATCTCACGCATTGGATGATTGTACCTACACGCTGCCAATTGATGATATGACAAAGGATAATTGTATGTGATGAGAGGATCAAGGCGTTGAATGGCAAGTGCGGTAGATGAGAGCCTCTTAATTTGCAATGCAAATCACGTGCAGTGTAAAATTCAAAGAAAAATGAAAACAATAGCCACAATGGCGGCGGTGAATATGCTGAACAAGCTTTTGTAGTTTGTTAGTCAATCGCGAAGTTGAACGCGGCGCATGCATTTGTATGTTTGTCTCTCACGCAAACTTTGCGCACAAAAACTTCATAATTTTCTGCATACTACGTGAATTCACGTACGGATGGTTTGGAAAAGCCATAAAAATGAATGAATGTAACAAAGGCAAACAATGTGACTTTGTGTGTCTGATGGTTTTTCTCTCTTATTTTTATATGTAAAATAAGGCTTTATTGCTAATTTAAGTTAATTTACGGTGATTTCTTGAATTTAAAAAAAATATGTGTGTACATATGACATATTTATTTCAAATTTTATAGAGCGTTTTCTTTGAAATTTAAAATCTGCAGTAACAGCGTGAGAGATTATGATGAGAAAAGCAGGCGAGACTGCTCGATATCGGCAACGATATTACAAATTCGAATTTTAAAGTTACTTTCTTTTCTACTACGCCAATGTAGGCAAGGAAGAGTGAATGAGCTTGCCAGCAAGGCACCACGAAATTAGCTCTTCGATAAAAAAGCCATTGTCTTTTGCAAACCACTGCTCCAGAAACAGGTAGGGATAAGTTGCAATCATATTTTTTTTGTTGCCGCAAAAATATTCCCCAGAGCAGTTTTTTTGGGAATGTTACGTGAATGAGAACGCTTGACTGTATAAAAATTCTTCTTGTTCCGGTAGTAGGCCACAACTGACGTGAAAACTTTTGAGTTTTAGGCATGCCTTACCGCGAGAAAATTCTTGTACACCTACCCAGCAGGGGATGAGATGGAACCCTACAACAGTGGTCGAACTAAAAAGAGATAGATCATGAGGAGTATATTCCTAGACCATCTAGGAAGTTCTGACAGATCACTGTCTAAAAGCAGGACACGCAGAAAGATGGGAGGCTCCATTTAGAAGAGACTGTAGGAGCTGTGGAAATGATGAGAAATAGAGAAAACAATAACTAATTTTCAAAGCGACTTTCCTTATCCGGATAGTAGTGAGTAATCTTTATTTCTTGTCAGCGCCTTAAAAAATTTTTCTAAAATTTTTTGGATGTTGTTTAGATTAAAAAGTGAGCCCTGGGATTACGAATGGCAGTTTGTACTATTAACTACTTGACTATTGCGGGCGCATGGACAGTATTATTTTCGGTACGGGCTTTGTTCAAATATAGCGTCAGGTTAAGCTTATCAAATAGCCGAAGAGGACGTTTAGCGACGCGCAGTGGTTCACAAAACGTGGCCTTAGTCCAGCCAAAGAGAAATTGAACTCTTTCCATTGCTTAGAGGATGAAGTGTTTAATAGAAGAACTTCTTGTGGCGTTCGAAAATGTGCGAAGCGCAAGGCGGCGTAGTTTAATTTAGTGTAAATGGTTCGCAAAACTTTTAATGGGTTTTTCACGAAACGCTGTTTTCAAGTTCGAGGAGGAAAATTTCTCTGAAACAGCTGAGTTTTCACACGACCTTCTAAGATATATTTCCCAGCTAGAAGGAATCAAATTTTTGACTAAATTTCGTTTTTTGAAGCCATTTGGAAGTTTGTAGTTTTTCACAAAAAAATAATTTTTTTTGAAGCCGCCATTTTGTCAAAAATCAGAACTTCTACTACTCCTTGGATCACTACTTGCACCCATCCATTATAATAATATTTTTTTGTGGTCTTTGGGTTTCAGATAATTTGAAGCAGAAACGTCTTCCTCGCCGCCATACACTGACCATTTGGAGACCATTCTGGAGATCGGCTACAGAAACAAAAGGATCCAATACTTTTTAAAATGAATCATTCACTCTAAAGCTACATTAAATTTTGTCTATTAATATTAATGTATAGAATAGAGTGGCGGAAAACAAACTAAAAAAGGTATTAAGACACGAAGAAGAAAGAAATATTAAAAATCTTATAACGTTTCTGCTAGGAAATCTCTATGGAAAGCAAGCAAAAACCTTAAGTCGACAGTAAGCACTGAAGTGCCATTGAGATTGCGTAATGGTTCGTGGGCCAGAGCGGATGAAGAAAAGGCTTCTTGTTTTGCAGAGCACCTCAGTACAGTAATTCAACCGAATACCGCCACAAACAGTGCACCTTTGTCACCGAGCCATATCCCTTCTAGTTACAGTGTCACTTGCGGAGCATCTGTGTCTAAACTAAAAAAATTATTACCGTCTTAATTTCAAAAGAATCTCCAGAAAATGACAATATCCCACCAAAAATGCTAAAAGAATCGCCAAAGCTTTTCAGTGCCATATTGATACTAGGGTATTATCCACAAATATGGAAAAAGTCGCAGATAATTATTATAGTTAAACCAGGTACAGACGCAACCCTACCGTCTTCCTACAAATCAGTCAGCCTGTTGTCTTGCCTATCCAAACCGAAAAAGTGCTGCTATCAAAAACTACTCCTTCTCCATCAAAATGATATTATTCTTACTGGCCTAAGTGTAATAAAATGGATATGATGCCGAAATGAAGTAGAGAACGCTTTGGAAATCTGCTAGTTAGTAAGTTGTCGTGGAGACTCAATATGTAGAACAGATTGAAGAAGACATCAACAGCCCTATATATGAGTATAAATAAAAGTATGTTGGGATGTTGTACTCGGAGTCCTTCACTCCTACTTGATCTTCGTAGTGAACGTTGAGACAATACTTTTCAGTGGAGTTACAGCAAAAGCAACATTATTGAAAAAGACTGGAAGGAGCCTTTATACTGTCACCGAAGCACTTAAAACAACACCATTTGCGATCCTTCAAGCAATTTTGAATGTATCACCGGTGAAACAAACGAAAAGCGGGGCATTACTATTTGTTGAATATCTCAAATCGGCTAAGGATTAGCACAACCAGGCTTAGTAGTGTAGAATTATCTCCTTCTATTTCTCTTTCTCTCTCTCGCTCTCTCTCTCTCTCTCTCTCTCTCTCTAAGTAAAACATGCCCAATACGTTTGTTAAGCAAGCAGGAGCATGACGTAGCCATAGAACTACCAGTACCATTGAGGGAAGCTAAGAATCATTAGAAATGCTTCTCCATCGTAAGGAAAGAAGGAAAGTAGCTAAAAAAATAATAACGAAGTTTGGGATTGGAATCAACCTACTTGTCATTGGCGATATTAAATAATATTGTATAGGCAAGATTTCAGACCATCTTGCAGCTAAGTCGTATATATGTATTGTACATATTAATTGACAATTTTGATAGGCATTGCTTATTGTCACAAGGTTTCCGATGTCCAATGACAAAGAATGAGCTTTCAAATAAATACACTTCTCACTGGCATTGTGTAGAGTTCTTTAACCTCTATATAGCCAAAGACCATGTACGAAAAAATCGATTACACAACCTTTATATTAACTACTTTCAGTGATTACATACATATGTATATACTTAGCCCACTTTCGTAAGAAACGTTATTTACATATAAGCCATTTATACTATGCACAAGCTGGAAATCAAGACACCTGTGGCGAGCGACAAATTGACCAACACGGAAGCAGTTACTTATCGTTACGTCTAAATAGCTTTGTTTTTGTAACGCGAAAATCATAAATATTTAATACAATGTCAAGACCAGTATGAAGTGTGAAAGAAAATATGATTTTTATATCAAATAAAAATACACAAAAATCAATATAAAATACTTTATATAGCTCCTACCTTGAATAATTTTTTCTTTTGCAAATGAACGTAAAGGGTGTTTTTTTAAGAGCTGTACGAAAGTTTTTCAAAAAAAAAAAAAAAAAAAAAACACATAAAATTCAGAAAAATGCATGAAATCTTTACTTGGACCGATGGTACAGTCCATATAATTTAATGTTTGAAGATTATTCCGTGCAAATATTGATCGTGACTGCGCCTCAAATGGTCCATCCGCTTAGTCGAATTTTGGCATACTCTTTCCAACATTTCGGCCACTAACTCACGAATAAATGCTTCAATGTTGTCCTCTAATGCGTCAATTGAAGCGGACTTGTGTGTGTAGACATTTGGTTTAACATTAACCCACAAAACAGAGTTTAGAGGTGTTAAATCGCACGATATAGGCTGCCAATTGTCCGATCCTTAACGAACTCGCCTCTCAATAAGTCCATTGTTAAGCGTGCTGTGTGGCATGTGGCCCCCATCTTGTTGAAACTACATGTCAAGCAAGTCAAGCTCTTGCATTTTGGGCAAAAAAAAATTGATATCATCTCATGGTAGCGCTCACCATTCACAGTTACAACAATTCGCATCATCTTTGAAGAAGTGAGGTCCCATGATGCCACCAGCTCATAAGCCGCACCAAATTTTAACTTTTCTGGATGCATTGGTAGCTCTTGCAATATTTCTGGCTGATCTTCACTCAA